GGGAGGGATACAGCCCATGGGATCCTGCAGATTCTTCCTTTTAGTAAAGACCAAAAGAAGGCTGTGGGATTCTAGAAAGACATAAAATGCTAGAGAAAAGGGACACTGGGGACTCTGTCTCAAATAGGAAATTTCCTTCTACAGCACTGCTATGCCGTACTGGGAGCAGGAAGCAATTGCTGGCAGAACAAATGCAGCAATGTACTCTATGATGGATGTGGGTCTTAGTGCTAGCTGAAGGCACCAATTGCAGATTTGTTTCACCATAAAACTGCTTTAAGCCCATCCAGGCATAGCTTCATTGGTAGGGGAATGCCAGGTCATCTAACCAGGCCATCTCTTCAAACCATCAGAACAAGACAACAGTGGGCCTTGTATATGGAATGACTTCTCCCTTCCCTCCTCCTACATTTTGTAATGTCTCTCATATCTTTAGGCTAACATTGATACCTGATTTCCCTTTGTTTCACAATTGCTTCGTTTCCATGTTGATTACAGGCAAAGTACCACTTATGTGCAGCTGGCTGGCTGCAGTCTGGGAGAGTAGGCTATCCGACGGCCTTCTCTGCCCCTACCTGTGGTGGAGGATTGGTTGGGATCATCGACTACGGAATCAAACTCAACCAGAGTGAAACATGGGATGCCTTCTGCTACAGAGTCAAAGGTAAAGGTGCTTCTGAATTAGCAGACAGACAATTCATTTCCAGACAAGCTTACAGACTTCAACCCGGTATAAACACTTTTTGTTAAAACTGTCCCCTCAAAATGGAGGCACTATCAAGAAGGTTGTGGCCTCTAGGTTGGCCACTATGTGGGAAAGGATGCTGGACTGAATGGACCAGTGGACCCAGCAGGCACCTCTTGTGTTCTTATGGTGGAGCAAAACAGAGCAAGCATCGCTGCTTTCTGTGTGTCACCACATTCAGAGTGCCTCGTTCTGCATTCAAGAGTGTGTCTAGCTGTGGACAGGCTAAGAATGAGGCACTGCAAAGCAGGTTACCAAGTTACCTGAGATGTTGGTTTGACAGCTAGTAGCTGAGCCTCATGGAGCCCTGGGCCAGTTTGAAGTCACCATGTTGCAGTAACTGCTGGCTGCACTTGGGGTAGGAGTCAATTATCCAAGTCGCTCCATGAGTTAAACTGCTTCACATCACTTGAGACTTGCAAGTACAAGCCTCTTCATTTCTACAGTGTTGCTGTGGCAGCACAGTCCTGGCTAGTGGGAAATGGCTCTTCGTGTTAATTGGCAGGATCATCCGCTTGAGTCACCAAGGGGAGGAGTCTTCCCCTGGGCCCCAGACTGAGCCGTGGCCCTGACTGTACCCAAGAGGCAGTGTCCCTCACCCCAACAACACTAAGAATGAAGAATTCACAGTGTAATGAAACCTTTCTGATAATGTTATTTCTGTTCCCTCCTGCATCCCTGCTTCCATGATTGCCTCAGACAATGGTGTTAATTTTTAACTTTGCCAGGGAAACCTGAGAATATATAGAGCAGCCATGATACTGAACTGATCATGTACCGCATCCATGAGAGAGATCATGCAGCATTAATCAGAATGTTTTTAGACTGGAAGAAAGCCACATCCTATGAACATACAAAGCTGCCTTATACTGAGCCAAGTCATTGGTTAATTCAGCTCACTTTAACCTAACCTTGCTCTGCCAGCAGCTGTTTTGGCCTTTTAGGCAGATTTCTTTTTCAGCCATCTAACAGAGTTCCTTTTAAAGTGGAGTGATCTTCTGTATGTGAAGCATATGGTTATACCTATACCTATGAGCTAGGGCCCTTTACCAATAAGCCCTTGTTTACAGGGGAGGTCTTTGGCTGCCTCCACACTAGGTCATTCTTGTGTCACACAGTCAATTTCAAACACAATTACAACTGTGGCTGCACATGGAACTTAGAATAGCATTATAGTCCCCATAAAAATTGGCAGTGCCCATTCAGCATTCAATTATGTGTCCCTTTACATTGGCTGTTTTACAAATGCTTCTTTTATGTGCTTAATTAATTTCTGTTCATTCATTACTTCAGCATTCCTAACTCAATACTTAATTTTCACAATCTTTAATTATAATAACTATTATGTCCACTATGTGCCACAGGAGGGGGTTACTGCTTTTCACTTTGCAGCCAAAGTGATTGCCCATTAATTCCCCCCCCCCATGATTGTAATTTTGCAATTGTGCAATTATCATTGTTAAAAAAGAGAAAGAAATCAATGAGCGGTCTCCATGACTGAAAAAGAAAAAAAAACTCATCTATCCTTCCAGGGAGCTGAACTAATAATAAAAGATTGACTCCAGGATGTTATAGCCACCAAGAGTCAACAGAACGTAATTAGTGAAGTACATAAATATCTATAAACAGAGAAGCAAAATTTAAAGGGGCAGTAGCCTTGAGAAACCTCAGTAGTGCACTGCCCCTGCCAGACTGAACAGACTGATGCTGCAGTAACATTTTAAGTTAGGGGGGGGGAATCATCTTCAGACTATTTGGGAAAAGGTGGGGGGACAACAAGGGAAAACACTGGAATATAATAGGTTGGCAGTCATCTGAATTCCTTATAAAAACAAATGAATGATTGATGTCCCTTCCAAAATAAACAGTAGTATAAATTGGTTTTATTCTTTTTGAATTATGTTTTTTGCAAAATAGTAACTCTGCAAAGCAGTGGTAGATTGCAGTTTAGATAACTGATGTCCCACATCAGCTTGCTGTTTAAAATCCTTATGCTTGGATTTTGTAGATGTTAATTGCACTTGCAGAATTGGCTATGTGGGTGATGGATTTACATGTACTGGGAACCTACTTCAAGTCCTCATGTCTGTCCCAACATTTACAAACTTTGTCTCGGTAAGTAATAGAAACAAACACTTTCACTGGAAATAGCTGTCTTGTACACACATGTACAGAGAGGGGAATGGATTGGATTGCACTGGCCCAGCTAGGATCAAGACTGTGCTGGCCTAGCTAGGATTTTGGACCTGCCACCTTTAGCCACTGACTCACACTCCACCTCTATGCTATTACTTGCTCTCAAGAAGAGCAAAGTTGATCATTTAGGACACAAGTCTGAATAAAAAGTGGTGAGGCATTGTCCTCGGTATTAAAATAAATTTTTGATTATTAATCATCCATATTTCTAGCACCTTTCTACTTTTCTGAATTGTCTATATCTTTTTTCAGATAACTGTGTATATGTAAAGGAAGTTTAATTTCGCAGGTTCAATTGTATATAATTCCGAAATTTTTATCACAGCAAAAATATTTCACTCCAGAGTATCCTGTTTCTTCGCAGGAAATCTTTACTTACTCAAATACCTCAAGGAAAGGTCAAGAATTCCTGAAATACCTCACAAATTTGTCAATTAAGGCTACATTGTTTGTGCCAGACAATGACGGACTGAAGGAAAATGAGGTAAAGTACCAACTGAGTATGGGAATGTAAATCATGTCATAAACGTGGCCCTGAATCAGCCTCATATAGGACATCCACAACATGTTACTGAATTGTTACAGAAAAAAAGGGTGAAGGATACCTTTCCTTGCTAGGAAACTCCCTTAGCCCAAGGGTTCCCTGAAATCACTCAGCCACCTCCACTCAGGTAGGTTTGCAAGACATAAATAAGGTGGTTTTTCAGCACACACCCAACCCCAGCCGCTGAGCGTGGCTGTGATCTCTCTCACTCCTTGGGTGCGTTCAGACGGGGGCTTTCTGCCGGCAGAAACTGCACCGATTGGAACCGGTGCAGTTTATGCCAGCAGAAACGCGATCAGACTCACCCTCCTTCTTCCGTATCCCTCCGTTGGACGCCCGCTCACACGCTGCGGGTGTCGGCGTTTGTTGTGTTTTTTTTAAGCAGTTTGAGCATGCGCATAGGCAGCCATTCAGAGAATGGCGATTTGTGCGCATGCTCAACCCCCCCCCCCCCAGAAGATTTAAACTTTAACGGAAAGGACTTACCTTTAAAGTTTAAAGAGCACAGTAGCCTTCCGGAGGTCCCCGACACCTCCGAAATGCTGCAGTAAGGGCTTTTTAAAAAAAACAAACAAACGCTTAGGGCGAAGCTTCGCCCAAGCACATACCGCTAGGAATCTTTTTTAAAATGGCGGGGGAAAGCCGGAAGCCTCAGGCTTCCGACGGAAGTGGCTAGGCACCGGTGGAGAGCGATCAGACGCCGGTTTGCATCGGAAGCCACCGTTGCACTGAGTTTACCACCACTAGGGACCTAGTGGCAGAGTGCAACGGTGTACAGCTCTTTATAACGGATAGAGTGGGAAGACAGATGTTCCCCGTCTGAACGCCGGTAGGTACATCGATTTCAACCGGCACAGAATCCGTTGTAAAGGCTGCGTCTGAACGCACCCCTTGTTTCCTCTCTTCCCCCATCCTACCTCTGAGGATCTTGAGGCGGCACATCAGACTTTCCCCTCCACTGCCCTATGCCCACCACCATCACCAGCCTTGTGAAGTGGTCCAGGCTGAGCAACCAGCCCGGGGTGACCCAGACCACAGAGTCCTGGCTCAGGAGGAGGGGGGGGTTCTGAACCTGGCTCTCCCAGGTCACCCTACTGCCAGTTCTCATTCCTCCTGCATTTCCCACAGAAGCAGTGGGGCTGAGGGGAAGGCCTGATGGAGAAACTGTTTCCAAAACCTCCAGGGGGTGCTTTTTGTCCTCTCACTACCCCTTTTCCTTCATGGGCTGAGGACAGGTGTGGAGGAGAAGGGAGGTTGCCATTCCCCACCCTCCCCAACACTCACTCTGCCTCTGGGCTCCGCAGCTGTTCAGATGTGTGGCAGCAATAGCGCTGCCCCTTTTCCCTTTGTTCCTCCACTTGTTTCCAAAGCCAAGATGTCTTTCGCCTCAGAGAACCATGCACAAAGCAGTCCAGTTGCTTCTCAATCCATGCGCCGGCCCTCCTCCTCTCTCCCTTGCTGGCCCCTTCCCTTTGATGGCAAACCGCTGCTCCATGCCAGCTGCCCCTCACAATAGCTGTTTTGTTTGGGGGTGGCGGCAGCAGACACTCAACTCCAAACCCCCCCCCCATTTAATGCTGAGCTGTGGTCAGAGGAGGCAGGAGGGGGGAAAAACACCACGCCTCCTCTTTCTCTACCTTTGCCAGTTTGGTGTAGTGGTTAAGTGCGCGGACTCTAATCTGGGAGAACTGGGTTTGATTCCCCACTCCTCCACTTGCACCTGGCTGGATGACCTTGGGAAAGCCGTAGTTCTGATAAGAGCTGTTCTTGAAAAAGAGCAGTTCTTGAAAGAGCTCTCTCAACCCCACCTACCTCACAGGGCGTCTGTTGTGGGGAGGGGAAGGGAAAGGAGTTTGTAAGCCGCTCTGAGACACCTTTGGGTAGTGAAGGGCGGGGTATAAATCCAATCTCTTCTTCTTCTTCTTTGCTGCCATTCCCCCCACACTATACTATCTCAGTCTCATAGTACAGCCCCTTAGCCATATTTCTTAACAGCTTTGACCACATGCACCAACTTAACTCCCCCCCTCGAGCAGTCTCGTGCCTTCCCTCACTCGCACTAGTTGCTCGCTAGCCGGCTAAGAGCCTTGGACAGGCCGGTTCTGGCCCCTGGGCCATATGTTTGGCACCCCTGATTTAAACAACTGGTCCATCTGGTCAGCATCCTGCATTACATAGTGGCCACAATCAGTTTCCCTAGATGGCCAACAAATAGACACCAATGTCTTCCCTCATGTTACATTCTAGTGATGGTATTCAGAGTTTTACTTCCTCTGCATGTGGACATTCCTTATAGCTACTAGCCACTATGTCTTCATGAATCTGTCTTATTCCCTTTTAAAGCTATTTATGCTTATGGCCATCGTATCACCTGACAATGGGAGAGGACTGGTACCAGTATACAAACAGCATACCATATCCAGAAGATCCTGTCAACAGCCTTGAATTGCTGAGATTGTGCTACTATTTAAAATAAATATAAACCTAGGTCCCAAAATTCCATCTAGTCAAGTAGTCATCCTCAGACTTTTGAGACCTAACCTGCACACTCAACTTCAACTTACTACATAGGACCCAGTTTTCATTTTTATGTCCATTGTTCAACTTTTTAAAAATTATATATTCATCCGCCCCTTTTTCTTATTTTCCATATGCCCTCCTCCTGCTTTACCTTCTCTCTTTAAAGATAAATATCAGTATGCAAGAAATAAAAAACCCACTGAGTAGCAGATATGTGGTAATTTTATTAACTGACATTGCTTGACATTGTTTGCTGTATTCAGACACTTTCTGGAAGAGACATTGAGTACCATTTGTCCAACATGAGCATATTGTACTATGAAGACTTGACCAATGGAACTACCCTTCAAACCAGGATAGGGAAAAAGCTATTAATTACACATGGTGAAAACCAAGAAAAACAGGCTTCAGTTGCTAAAAAGGTGAGTGTTAGCACGTTCACAGGTAAATCTCTGGATTGTATGTTTCCCAGGATGGGTACTCATTGCAAAGAGAAGCATGGCACACACCCTTCCTTGTACTGTACAAATTGCAGCTAGTTTGGATTGGTGCTCCACATGGATGTGGTCACATGATTCAACAAAAGGGGAACAGAGATGTATTTATTTATGTATTATTTTCCATTTGTATCCCACCTTGCCGGGCGAACTGGCGTGAACCAGACCTCTGTGTAATGGGAGTTCATATGGAGAAGCCATTTTGTACTAGTTGCTATCTGCATGATGGACAGAAGGGGTTCATACTTTACTTCCATCATGAGAACTGAGCACTGTTCCCAGGGAATGCATGAACCAAGACACTTCTTTAAGTCTTTAAGATTGTGGTGAGGGAAAAGCCAAGACAGCTAATAAAAGTTATATGAGATTGTAGCAAAGGTATGTTGATCTTTAGGTCCCATTTGGTCTAAAGATACAGTAGCACAGAATTGGTGGAGGGAAGAAATTTTAACTGGTGGAAACTGTTGCAGAGGCCTAAGAAAGGCCAAGGGCAGGGGAAATGTCCCCTTGTAGATAAGAGGCAATTCTGAGTTTGTTAGATTCCTGCCATCTAGGAGTGGAAGATAGGGCTAAATCCAGTTACCTGGGAGACAGAATCTCTCTTCAAAGTCTGCACGTGTTCTTCCTTAAAAACCATTCCCAAGCATCCAGACACATTTAGTTTAATTAAAATTTGAAAATGGTCCAGAAACTTCAGCTTATCCAAAATGCAGCAGCCTGGCTATTGCTGGGGCAGGATACAGGGACTGAATCACCCCAGTGATGAAAGATCTGCACTGGCTGCTGGTTCTTACCTTGAAAGGCCTAAATGGCTTGGGGCTATAGGGTACCTGAAGAATCACCTAAGTTAAGCTTACCTGCTCTCTGTGCTCCTGGTTTCAGAGGAGAGGCAGGTGGCAGCCAGAGACGGTGCTTTTTTCAGGAGTGGCACCTCACTTCTGGAATGCCCTTCCTCTTGAGGATTGCTTGGCACCTACATTATTCTCCTTTAAGTGCCAGGCCAAAATGTTTCTGTTCACCCAGGCTTTTAATTAAAATCTTTTAACACTATAAGTTTAAGTTGTCAGTGTTTTTTCCTATGGGTCTTCTTATGCTGAGCTGGATTTTAATGCTGGGTTTTTAAACTAATTTTTAAATGTTTTGCTTTTATTCATTTGTAAGCCACCTTGGGCAGGTTCCTGGAGAGGTGGCATAAAAAATTTCTAAATAATAAATGCTACATATTGAAGCTTTATTATCTGCAAAAAAAATGTATTAGCAAGTTAATGGTTTTAGGAATGAACAAGACAAATTATTGAGATGGGAAAAAATAACATTCGCTCGATAGGCAATTAAATCTGTATGAAACTAATTCATGGTATAAGGGACTAGATTCCTTCTCCAGCCAGTTTCTTCTAGCAGAAGAACTGAAACTTTTGTGGGCCAATATCAACCAGTACAAAAGAATTAGTTCTACAGCCAAGAGTGTACAGATCTAAGCACTGAGAAATTGCCTCCAGCTGCGGGGGGCAGGTCTCCCGCTATAGTGGGAGACCTCAGTCAGGGTCTCCCATTCCACACTGCCGCTTGACAGGCCAGCAGGGGGAGCTATTCAGTGTCACACTGACATGCAGCATCACTTCTGGTGTGACACTGGATGTGGCATCATTGCATTGGTACAGTGCTCCAGGATTTACCCAAATCTCAGTTTGGGATGAATCCTTGAGCATCACCCTGACATAATGACATCACTTCCAGTTTCATTCCAGAAGTGATGTTGCACATTGGTGTAACGCCAAAGAGCTTGTCCCCTCCCACCAAAGTGCCAGCTAAAGATGGTAATCCAGCTGTGTTCTAGGGAGGGCCACTTGGGCATCTGTATATTTTCAGCTGTGTGCCAATCAGCAGCTGGGGGGGGATTTAGGATTGCAAAAACAATGCAGGGGGAAGAGTTATATACCCCCTGGTCTCCCCCCTGCAATGACCCCAATCCAAACTGGAGAGACACAACCACCACCCTCAGCAGCCGCTGTTTCGGCAGGTTTAGGTAAACCCTTAGAAAAGGTTACATGAGTATCCACTGTTATGGCTCTCTTTGCTTCCTTTTTATAAGGCAACAAGGTATGTGGATGGAAGAGCTATCCTTGGGTGGGACGTTGTTGCTTCCAATGGGATCATCCATGTCATTGCGGCACCCCTGAAGGCTCCTCTACCCCCTGTAAGTCTTTCTTTTCTTCGCATAGAAATTACTTTTTCTTTTTTAGACACTTGCTGATCCACTGAAAACTTGCAAACAAAGATTTCTGCTTCTTCCTGTTCTAATCTGAAAGCGAGTACTGTGATTCCACTGTTATATCCAGAGTCAATTATGATGTCATGGCAGGGGTGCCATTTCAGTTTTCAGCAGCGGGGGACAATGTACAACCACTTCCAGGCTTATTTCACAGTAACATCCAGCATCCCACTGTTAGGCGTAGTCCTGCGCCTCTTAACAGAGGGAAAGTAACAAGTCTATTGGGCTGGGTCACACTCATTTGAATGTGGTCTTCCTCTGGCTGGTGATCGAAAACGGTCTTTGATACCACACTCAGAATAACACATTTATTTAAATAAACTCCCAGGTCATTTGTTACTCCCCCCCCCCCTCTTCAGTGGGTGAGACAGTTGCAGAGGACCCTGAGATCCGTAGAGTGTAGAGGGTTCTCCCAGAATACAGTGAATGAACGGAATCAGCAATAGAGACCAGAAATCCTGAAGCTGCTTTATACTGATTCAAACCACTGGTTCATCTAGCCCAATATTTGCTCTGACCAGCAGTGCCACTCAGAGGTTTTGTGCAGAAGGCATTCCCACCCACTCCTGGAGAACCTGGAGCTGTCCAGGACTGAACTTGAGACTTATGCAAGCAAAGCAAATACTCTCCTATTAAATTATAGTCTGTCCTCAGATGCACTCTCCCCCCCCACCCCCCGAACATGTAACAGCAAGTGCAGTGGGCTGTAGTATATTTACCTGAGGCTTATTGGAAGCTTCTTGCCTAAAGACAGACCAAGGGAAGTAGCTCAGGCTGAAACATTAGCATTGTATGGCTTCCACTCCCCCTCTAATTGCCACATCTGATGCCTCCTAGCCATCAGGGTCACAGTTCCAACTCTGGTGGTTAATTAGTTAACACCCTTTAACCACTTGTGAAAGAAGGTTATTTCCTCTGGGACTAGATCATTTGTGCTCCGCAAAACAATTCATTGGACACATTTACTGTCATCTCTTGCATTTCCTGAGCCTTCTAGCCTCACTGTATACTTTTCTGTCTCTGTACAAAAAACCCACCAATTTAGAAGACTGGCCAAGATGAGTACTTGGATGGGAGCCCACCAAGGAAGACCAATGTTGCTATGCAGAGAAAGGCAATGGTGCTACACTCTTTGCTACACTCTTGCCTTGAAAACCCATGAGAGGCCATTATAAGTCAGTTGCAACGTGATGGCACTTAATTATTATTATTTATGCATTTGGCATTAGTAGGCCCAGGTAGTCTTGTACCATGATTGTTAAATTCCCTCTTGCCTTTGCTACAACAGATTAGATACTTTAAACTGTTTCTTAGCATACTCATTCGCCTGCACTGCCTCCACTCAGGCAATCTTACATCTTGGAGTTGGAACAGGAATATTCTTTGCCGTTCTGCTCATCATCGGAATCATCGCCCTTATTGGGTACACGTACTTCAGATTTAAGCAAGGAGATATTCGCTTCCAGCGTTTCAAGGTATGGAGCAGTTGAAAGTGTGAAACTGAGTGTCAAAGAAGAAAGTGCAGTGCCTATTTGCATGGGCCACTCTGTCGGCTTTTAAGGAACTGCTTCTGAGGGCGCTCAGGAATGTGTGGGGGAGGGGTTGTTACTGTAAATGCTCGACCTTTGCTCATACAAGAGGCTGCCATCCTAGGGACTGCTCCCTTACACATGAAAGGTGCTCCAGATATTTCTCCAGTTTCCCTCTTGATCAATACCAGAAATACCGGGAATGCTTTCCACTGTTTTGCAGCCTACCTCTTGCAGATGGTTTTTGGAGATGCAGAGATCTAGAGCCAGTGTGTTGTAGTGGTTAAAGAGCAGCAGACTCTAACCTGGAGAACTGGGTCTGATTCCCCACTCCTCCTCCACATGAAGCTCTGCTGGTGACCTCGGACCAGTCACAGCTCTCTCAGCCCCACCCACCTCACAAGGTGCCTGTTGTGGGGAGAGGAAGGCAAGAGACTGTAAGCTGCTCTGAGACTCCTCAGGGTAGAGTAAAGCAGGGTATAGAAAACCAGACCACTTGTCCAATTCTGTTCACACTTGGGAGGGTCTTTAGTAGATAAGGACTAGATCTCTTGAAATTTCCCCCCATATGATTTTTAAAAATTAAAAGCTGTTCTGGAAAACCAGTTTTATTTCCCCAAAGGAAATAATGGTGGACATCCAATATTAATTATAATGGAATTTTTTCTGAACATGACTTTTTGAAATAGACTCCCAATATTTAATTAATAGGATAGCCCTGCCCTGCCCACCGTTATGCTATAGAATTAAAATGGTAACTTTTGAAGTGCACATTCCTAACCAGAACTCACTAAATATCGCAAAGTATTAGTGGAATCAGCAAGGCTATATTTTGTCTCTTATGACTACACCACAATAGTTGTATTCCTTCTTCTGAATATGCATCCATGAAGTATAAATATATGTTGGTTTTTAAAACAGCAAAAGAATGATATCGATGTAACTACACTGGGCACAGCCCAGGCTTCAAACATCTCAAACATTAACTATGATGGCTCAAGAACTTCACCACCAGATCTCCCTTATGATCCATTTTCAGTAAGTTTCTTTTTAGCCATTCTTATTTGAGGTTACTTTGTAATTTATTAGTGGAACTGTTTTACAATGAAACTTAAATTAAAAAAACAAAAACTTGAGGAGATAACAAGAGGGGCAGTCACAGATTGCTATTGTATATTTTTAATTTCTCTTACTAGTAGGATTATTAGGCAAGATGTGCCCTGACCTAGATATCCCAGGCTAGCCCAATCTTGTCAGATCTCGGAAGCTAAGCAGGGTCGGCTCTGGCTAGTATCTGGATGGGGGACCTCCAAGGAATACCAGGGTCATGACACAGAAGCAGGCAGTGGCAAACCACCTCTGGGCGTCTCTTGCCTTGAAAGCCCCTGTGGGGTTGCCATAAATCAGAAATGACTTGACGGCACTTGCCGCCACAAGCAAGTCGTATAGAAATCCATGATCATTTTGATGCAGTATTTAGCATTTGTTTAGCGCATTCAAACAGTTCAGACTTCTGTTTCACATTTCATATCTCAATAGCATGGACAAACTGTATTTCCTGTACCTGGTTTCCCACTCCCCAGGATTCTGATGTACGTGAGTTGGTGACTAATGAACTTCCTGCAGAGCTCTGATGACTTCCCATGGGAAATAATGTCTTAGACCTGGAATTGAATGCGAAATATAAAGCAGTACAAAGGAATTTCCACTTCAAAGTGAGAAGCATTTCAGAACTACAGAGAAAGGCAATTTTTGGGAGGATCAAGGTGGTTTTGTTTCCCTAAAAACTTATTTTGACACTTTATTTTAGAGTGTGTTTTCCTCGGGTTCAAATTGTTCTTCAGGACTACAGTTCATTCTTACCTCATGTTTTGGGCAAGGGGTACTGAGTATAGAGTTCTATGGTGCAGAATTACAATTATATTTGTAACTGTATTTTTAACTAAAAAAACCCATAGTAGTGCTTGTTTGACCCAGATTTGGCAACACAGGGATTTGGGATTGATCTTAAATGTTGTAGTACACTTAGGTCCCTATGAGAGAGCCAAGTGAACCACAGAGTATTTCATTTGATTTTTGTTTTTCTCCCCACTAAGGCATATATGTAGGTTGCTTTAACTGCTGTACTCCTTTCCAAGAAGGTATTCAAATATATACACTTCTGTATCATCTTGGATATGCTACAATAGTATACTTCAAAACAGACCATTAAAGATGGAAAAACTGAGTTTTGGTCTTATCCATTGCCTTAAGATTGATTCCTGACTTATTTTTACAGTTAGGGTTGCCAGATCCGGGTTGGGAAATGCCCGAGAAGGGTAGGGGCTGGGGAGGGACTTCAGTGGGGTATAAGGCCATGGAGTCCATCTTCCAAATCGGCCATTTTCTCCAGGCAAACTGACCTCCATTACTTGAAGATCAGTTATAATTCCAGATGAACTCCAGCCACCATCTGGAGGTTGGCAACCCTATTTAGAGTACCCAGAAACCTCTCTGTATCTGACACAAAACTCTGTGTTGTGGAACATTCTGGGGTATTTGTTGATGGTTATTGCAGACTGCCATTCCATCTCACATGCCTGTG